GAATATTGAGGAAGCGGAAAATAAATACTGAATTGAAAAAAGGTAAATGTGCCAATGTTCCAAAAAGAAAGAATAGAATAAAAGACAAAATGGCAAAAAGAAAACCATGAAAGAAAGGATTTTGAAAAGAATAAGTTAGCAAGAGAAACATATGACTGTGCTTGCACTTAAGGAAACAACTAACCTTCTGTGACAGAACCATCCCTCATGTTTAAAAACACGTTTTCTTTCGTCTCACATCTCTTACTCTCTATCTTTATTTCGCCCAATCTCCCAAGGTCTTCAATCTGAATTACGCACTAAAAGAGCTGAACGTCAAACAAACGTATATTGAAGTAATCCCAAAAGGTTTCCCTAGTTTTGTTCAATCTTAAAAATTGACATTGTCAAAAATTTCGGGGAATTGAAAAGCCAAGGACGATCGCAAATCTCTTTTGGGAAATAATGTTCTCTTGTATTACAGTTGCAGTTCATGAAAAGACAAACAGCAAATTCGTTTTATCCAAAGATGTTCAATCACGACTGACAAGCGCTATTTGCTTCTGCCAAGATTTGCTGATGGCTTTCAGATCGACATAATAGAAGCATTAATCTTTCGCCACTCAATGAAAGTGATGCACTGGTTACAGTAATGAACTGAGACGCATGAGGTGAATGTGCACCTAGCATAGCGATTATTGATGCAGAAAGTGGGCTTTGGTACCTAGCGTTCAAATTCCAGCCGAGGCCGATGCGTTTGATTTTGGTAAAATGCTCTTGCGTATGTTATAAATGTACAGATTCTTCTCCAGCAGGTAAGTATAAATAAAAGTGGATAATGAAATATTTAACTACCATAAAAAAAAACACTGAATTCGAAACCTCTTGAGTGAGGGGCGTAGGAATTTTATGCTGTAAAAATATTGTTGCTACGGAAACCACAGCATCAACAATTAGTGTGATGGAGCTGTGTCGCTGTAACGTCCAGGTAGTATACAGGCAAATATACATTTTTTCATAAAATTTACCCCATGTAAGGCGATAAAGCCACTAAGACACAAAGTGTTACTTCGTGTGAAAGAATTAGAAGAGATAAATTTTAAGGAGCGATAACATTACAAGAGGATTCAGGAAGGCAGTAGATAACAATTAATATTGTATTTCATTTTTTGAAGATCAAATTTCGCTGGAACACTTGAAGCCGGAAGAGATTTCCACAAGCGAGAAGTACGAGAAAACCTCCTACTATTATTTTTACGTTTAATGTATATTTGTTTGGGGATGTGAATGTATGATTGTGTTAGTGTAATGTCATAAATAAAACGTCAATTTTTCAAGTGAAAAAAAAACTAATTGGCAGTAATAATTTGGAGTCTTGAGGACATTTTAGGAAGAAGGAGATTTACCTGTCCTTCAGGCGAGTAGGCGTTCTCTTTCAGTTTATCTTCATTTGCATTGCTTTATTATGTAAATTCAGGGCTGTCTATCATATGCTTATTAAATTTACGTAATAGTATATTAAAAGTATATAGTATATAATAGTATATTAAATATACATAATAGTATATTAAATGTATATAATATATAATAGTATATTAAATGTGCATAATAGTATATTAAATGTATATAGTATATATTAGTATATTAAGTGTACATAATAGTACATTAATTGTATATAGTATGTAATAGTATATTAGATGTACATAATAGTATAGCTGTCGAGATTTTTAAGATATTTCTTCAGATATATAAAGATTGCTACAGGTCGTTAGATATAAACTGTGAGGTCACTGAATAATGGTAACGCAAGTGATTACAAAACAACCAAAAGTTAAATTTTACACATTGATAAGAATAAGGAAACTAAAATTCTCTTCAGATGTTTCTAAAAGAAATAGCGTAATGTTATAAAAAGTAATAACAACCACAGAATATACAGAATTCACCAAAAGAATGTGTGGTGTACACATTCTTTTGGTGAATTCTGTATATTCAGGAAAGGAAAATCTTGTCTTTCGTAATGTTATCAGATTGCGCTAACACTGTTTAATGTAGTCTGATATTTTCCTGATTAAGCACCTGCAGATTTCTTTTACGGGGAACCGTAAAGGGTGTTGTATATCGCAGGAAACTGACGATGGCCCTTAGACAAAAAAATTGAAAAATACATCTGCAGCTACCCCACTGAACACTCCGACCAACGTTGCTCAAGCAGTAGTTCGCCATACTATTAAATGTCTGGAAGCTAAAGAACACCATTTTGAGCATCTCTTGTGATTGTAGAAACTAAAGGGAACGTGTATTAATCTCATGATGGATGAATAAATTTGGTATTAAAATATTCATACAAGTTTTTTCCTTTCCTGAAATTAATCATTATTAGCCCCTTCTGTATTTTAACAAGCTGATATTGTACAATTCACATGGTGTATCTCTCATAAGAATATTTTAAAACTATACAATATTGTTAATGCCTATTTCATTGTAAAAAACATTGACTTGACTGGTTAAACACTATATTTCATATACACACTCGCACACACACCGCGCACACACATACATACACTACAGTTCAAATGTTTGAGGGAACCTGTGGTAATTTTTTTTTAAATAGACCAAAAAGTAGTTGTTTTTTTTACTTTAAATAAGAGAAAATTATTATACGTAAGAGACATGATTTTTAATAGCAATTTTATTATGACAAAAGCAAAAAAAAAAAACATGTTATGAGTAAATTTTGATCTGGTCAACATATCCTCCTTTAGCTTTGATTACTGCAGCACAAACTTTTGCCATTCGTTGCAAAAGTTTCTCAAAGTATAGGTTTGATAATTTGTCAATTTTCCAATGACTCGAAGAGCTCATTTTCACTTTTTTTTTCACTCTTCTGACAAGTATATACCATTCTAATTCCGGGCAGGGGGGCTTCAAACATTTGAACTGTAGCATATATATATATATATATATATATATATATATATATATATATATATGAAAAAGAAAATACAGAAAAAAACAAAATTCTGAATATGCATTATTAATGTTAAAATAAAGTCGACGTCGGACGTTTAGGTCTATTTAAGACCATCTTCATGGACATTTTCATTTAAACATAATTAACATTAAAACTTATAACAATTTAACACAAAAGACGATGGACATAAGAGCCCAACTAATTCAGACAGATAACTGAAATTTTATACAGATCAGCGTTCTGTTTAAATATGATCACGTAGTCGTCTCGTGGGCGATGTTGTTAAGACGTATTCGAAGATGATTTCCAAAAATTAAAATATCAAAAAGTCGAATGAAAAATTTTTATAAACAATTAAAGAAATCTCTTCCGTTGATGTTGGAATACGTAGTGATCATACTGTCGGATTTATATCCATATATTTGCTTACATACTGTCTACTGAAAATATACAAACCTGAATTTACTTTATAACGTGGAAGCTTGGACGAGGGAATCTATTGATCAAGTAAAGAATGGAATTTTTATCGAACTGTTTTTTAGAACTGTTCCATCGTTTTTAAAATCACTTTTGATTTGCATTGTAACGGGAAAGACTTTCAAGCTTGTTGAAGATATAAGAACCGATTTGATACTGTCGGATTTATATCCATATATTTGCTTACATATATATATATATATATATATATATGGTAGCTTAGTACACGTTTTCGAAGGTACCTCTCTCTGTCAGGACGACTAGCCAAACCCTGTTACAGAGATGTGAACAATCCACTGCAACACACCTGTGGTTTATGCAGCATTTATGTGAGTGGATATTAGTTACACTTTCTAGCAAAGACCCTTAAATCTGTCGTAATCATGTTATTGAAAAGGCTAGTACGTTCAGACCATCGGTCACGATGACTTGTGATGTCATGCTAGCACAACCATCGACGTCTTCCAAATTGTTCCATCTACCGAGTTCGACTGAGAACACCTGGGTTGATACATGATATGGCTTCCAGGCATTTTCCAAAGGTGTCACGTTCTGGGCTCGTCTCCACTGGTCGATAACGTCAACAAATCGATCATGGCAACATTCGAAGCCGGGCCTTATGATCAGAAAGCGAACATTGATCAATACAATAAACCAAATTATCAGTAACGCGTCAATAACAACCCTACCAATACGAAGCGCGCCAACGGAATAAATAAACAAAGATAAAAGAAAAAGCAAAGGAAAAACTAAGAAAAAGACAAGAGAAAAAAAGACAGCTTGAAGCGCTTAAAATACGCGTAGAAATTAAACTTAAGACATAGCGGTATCACTAACAAATACCAAACAGCGGTCAGAGACTCCCTTCCAAGTCGTAACTGAGTTTCCCGCCATGTCGGTCGTCAGATGACAAAGTCAAAAAAGAATCTTGGGTGGGTTATTCACGCAAATAGTAACACGGGTCAAAAAATGTTCCTATTATCACTACTCGACATATTTTTTTACTTGTGCTTGAACACTGACTACTGATTCCAACGAGATATATGCATCAAGGCAGACAACTTCTACGTACATGCAAAAAAAAACACACGCACACATACATACACACATTCACGCACAGACACACACACATATATATATATATATATATATATATTCAAGTCGCCTGAAGATTGCGCCAGCGGGAAACTCGGGTTATGACACGAGCCATCATTTGATAAGATTTATTGTTGTGAAGTGTTCTTTGTTTTGTATAGGAAATTTAGGTGTTGAGCACTTTCCTGAGTCGGGATTGTTAGACTTTGGGCCATTTTCATTTTTCTCTCTCTTTTTTTCCTTGTTTGAATTTTCACTTGATTAGAGTGTTAGGTTTTTTGACAAGTCACCAGTTGGTTCTTTAATACATACACACACACACACACACACACACACACACACACACATATATATATATATATATATATATATATATAATTCTATTGAGTTCTATTCTAAGTTCTTCATTTTTTTCAATCACAACTGAATTAAGTATGTTCCCATGAAATATGTCAGCCTACCTTATATCCCGTGTGTCAATAAATTTTCTTCGAAACCCTACATTTCCTCTTTTATGCTATTGTTGTTGGAGCATCACATGCCCGGCCCTAGTGATCGTCGGTGACATTTTAAATATCCTCTGAATTACTTATCTCTCCTGAAAAAAAAACTTTGACCTTTTCATTTTGACTTTCTTGACATTTTCTGACCTGTTTATCTCGATCGTTGTAGGAATTGGCCTCCATACCATCGGCCAGAGACCAACACACAACACGCCTCTGACTACCTCCTTTATATTTCCTTTTCTTTAGGGGATTATCCCCAGTTGTAATCCTTCTTCTCCCACTTACCTTCCCTCTCAGCTTCTGTCACGTTCTCTCTCTCTCTCTCTTTCATTTACTTAATCTCCCTGTCTCTGTCACTCTATCTCTCGTGAAGAAAAACAATGATATATTTCTGTTATTTATGGTACAATTAATTGTTTCTATAGCGAAAATATTCGGCAATCATTAAGCGAACAGTCAGCGACATCGTCACTTCAGAATTATAAAATAGAATTAGACTTTTCAAGTCCGCTAAATATTATCCCTCTTTCTAGTATTGTTGGGAATTTCCTTTCAAATATTTTGTTTTCTTGTACTGTGGAATGTTGGATGCTTTGTTATATAATTGTTTTCCCTTATAGTTACATTTGCTACGCATTTTGATGTTGTTGCTTTGAAAACCCTCAAGTAATGCGTTTTATCATATGCTAAATCTCTTTGTAGCTGATTTTGTAATGACAGCTTATGGTAATGGTGAAATTGCCTGTTTCCATAAAGGAAACGTTCCGTGTGCATTAACTGCAGGGAGAGCGTTATCGAGTTTTGATATTTATTAAATATTTTAAAAAGAAAATACCAGTAACTGTTATAGAACCTTTTAGTACTGATGCGGATTTCTTTCCAAACTTTTTCTCTGGTAACGTAGAAAATTAAAAGCTTTATTATGTCACTATTTTCCTTTCGAGTTACAAGTGATACCATATTTTTATTAGACGTCTTTGTGGTTTTGTAGGGCCAGTCTATATGATTTTATAAAATATTGTCTTTTTAAGATCAAAAGGATTGATTGATTGATTGACTCGTTTCTTACGGACTATCAACCCCTTGCTGGTTATTTAAAGCCAGAAAATATATTTAGATTATTAGAATTTTTTTAGGCAATAATGGTTTAAATAATGCAAGTTTTTCTAATTAACTCATAGCTGTGCAGCAAAGATGAAGATTTATAACTTACCCAAGATTATTTGCGCGTAATTGAATATAGCTAACCCAACCGGAATTGGAACTAGCTTCTCCAATCAACAATTTCAAGCCATTATCCATTGCACCACCTGCATACCCAAGCTTAGAGCACCTGGTATTCCAAGAAGTCCCCATCTAGATACTAACCAGGCTCGACGTTTCTTAACTTTGGTGATCGTACGGAAACCAGTGCTTCAACGTTATTTGGCCATAAGTTTTGAAAAGAATTCATTCGCATTTATAACCAATGGTCTGAGAAAAAAAGCATTGTATTTTGGTGACAGTTTAGTCATTTCTGAACTAGTTGGCTTTACCAATACTTATTTTATATACCGATATATTATCTAAAATCGATTAATAATCCGACCTAACTGATTTGTCTGTCTTCAGAGAATTAATACGTGTCCATGTCTTTATTTTTTAATCATTACAATCCAAGCAAGTGGGTACTGATTGTGAGAGAATATGGAAAAAAGACAATATTAAGGGGGGGAGAAAAATAAAAGAACATAAATTAAGAAGATAACTGTTGTAATCTAGAAAGGGTTACTGAATGAGGAATAACCAAAACGGAGGATGGAAATGAATGAAATGGTAATCTTTATAACATCAACAAAATACAATACTCGCCAGCGGCGTGAAGTAGGTAAACCACTGCTAGTGATGGACTACTTAGACAGTATATTATCCCCACATACAATAGTATCCAACGTATTTCTGAACATTAGGACATACCCATTAGTGTTCATAGTCACGGTCTATAACAATATCGATTGATTTGCATTTAAATTTTCGAAGGTCAAAGTTCACTGAAAAGCAAGAAGCCGAAAGAAAATTCTATATTTGCAAGAGAAGAAACTGTTACTATAGGACTTACGCTTGTATTTAGACATCCAATTGTAAAATGATGATATATTGCTGCCAATCTAGTACTGTGCTTAAATTTATAAGTCTGAGTAGAATAGTGGAAATTTCTCCAGAAGATTACCATTACAATATTTCTAGAAAATTACCATTACAATATTTCTAGAAAAGACAGAGGAGAGGTATGTTAGGAAGGTGGGGAAATGACTGAAGCCCCGCTTTCAGGTCAGGATAATTAATATTGAAAATTTTCTTCATGATTTATTAAAAACCTCTAAATACATTGCTGAAACACACGACTATATATTAAGACATATTTATGTTTATACATTCTTTTTATGGATACAAATATTTTAAGTAAATGCACTGTTTATAATAAACAGTATTAAACATTTGCCGACATTTGCATTTGTGACTTTGTCCATTTCATAATACAAGATAATATGTGATGTGGCATCAATATTCAACATATGTCTGGACAATTGGCAGCATTAAAATTTGTAAGATAGATTCTAGCGAGAAAACACTGTCTAGCTCGATACAGGGAGCGAATGTTCTAGCAACAGATCTAGCAATTGATTCAATATAATCGTGTCACTGCATGTCAGTGGAGAACGTCAGCACGAGACAGCGCCATGAAAAGTACTGTGTCCTATTTAAATAATATGGACTTTTCTGATCTTGATGAATATTTCTTTATTTCTCTTTCAATTTTATTTTGTTATTATAGATTTTATCATAATTTTGTCTCTTTTACCATATAAAATATATCAGTGATATGGAAACTTATAATTAAACTGTTTTTCCGCTATAATACAGGATTTTCATTTTAATATTCATAATACTTGATCTGACAGTAAGCATTAATGGGTTTTGTGAAAAGTTCAAAAAACAAGCTTAATTAAAATTAAGATAGATAATATTTTAGTAACACAATTCTGTCAGAGACATGTGTAAGTAATAGACATGATTGTCGTCTTGATTGTTATTTGAGATGGAGTTGGCTGTTTTTGGCGGCAAATGTGTTTGCTATTTTTGAAGAGAAATCGATATGGTTCGGTCAGTGCTTCCGAATCTTCAACGAACAAAACATCCAAGTTGCTTTCATCGATTTTAAGTTGTCTGAATTTCTTAGATCAAGCATTTTCATTACGATTAATTTTTTCTTTAATCTTTAATGATGTGTTTTATCGGAACGTTCAGATCATTGCATTTTACGATCGTTAAAGTAGTGGAAATCCAAAATAAAGATATGGTCTTCAACGAGGCATAAACTTGATTTGCATATCATTCACTTGCTTTGCCTGCCACAATACAGCGTACAAAATTTTAATCTATATAAAGATATTTTCTTTATCTGAATATTCACCCCATAAAATTTGTTTACTGTCTTCAACTTATAGTAGATGATTGAATAGTTGTTACGCTGTGTGAATTTATTCAATGAATATATTCATCCTTAAATGTAGTATAATTCTTTTAATTTCCTTGTTGCCTTTTATGCATTTCCTTGAAATAAATCAGACTGATACAACAATTTCCATTTACACTTCTTCCTTAGACGTTACTAATCATTTCATAACTAAAAATGGAGATGACACATTAACAAAACTGAGTTTTATGAAAAGGCCGATATAGAATAGAGTTATAGGAAAATATAAAAATATAATCAACCATCAGAATTTAATAAAAAATATATGAATCATGAGAATTTTCCTAAATCTCTGAGCCTGCATGGAGGTACAAAAAGTCATATATATATATAGAGAGAGAGAGAGAGATATAGTGTGGATGGTCCTGCACGAAGCCTTCACCACTATAATCGAATCTCATGTGCCGGTGTCGGGCTGTCAGTTTCCTGAAACTGATCTGCTTGACCCTCATACGTCGAACCCGACGGGAGAATCGATTATATATATATATATATATATATATATATATATATATATATATATATATATATTAATCTGATATTTTTGTTATTTCTAAATTTACTATAGTAGACACTCCTTATTTTAAATGCACGCCAAGTGTACACACTATTAACTGACATATAATTTCAAATATGAAGTGTCCACTATAATATGATAAACTCTGAAGAAAATATATATATATATATATATATATATATATATATATATATATATATTAATCCTAAATCTAATATATATATATATATATATATATATATATATATATATATATATATATGGGGAGAGAGAGGAATATGTATGATATTTGTTAAATTTTTGTAGAAAATTCTCGACAGAACATGTAATGTTTTTTTTTCTCTATAGAAATACCAGTCTATCTATCACTCAGTCTGTGTATATATATATGTATGTATGCATATCTATATATATATATATATATATATATATATATATATATATATATATATATATATATATATATAAAAGGAAGTTTGCGTGCGTGTATGTTTTTGTTTCTGTTCATATTTATATATATATATATATATATATATATAGATAGATAGATAAATAGATAGATAGATAGATAGATAGAAAGATAGATACATATTTGTTGCTTATCCATTTTACTTCGTCCCATTTTAGGGTAGTTATCATTGATGGTAGAATTAATGAAAACTTATAATTCATACTTCAATTTTTTAGAAACTTGTAAAACCGAGAATATACGACTAAACGTCAAGTGGAAGAAGGAAGAATGCCTGTTTGTTAGTAAAAGGGACAGGCTAAAATACAAATTACAAATCGGGGATACCAAAATCGAACAAGTACAAAAACTCTAATATCACCGAAGTGTTTTAACAGAGGACGGAAAGTGTGACATTGAAATCCGAAGGCGCATTGGCATAGACAAAAGTGCATTCCAAAAGCTAAGCAGAGTATTTTAAAAACAGAAAAAACTTTCTTAGAAACAAAGAAAAAACTACTGAACTGTTAAGTGATAACTCTCCTCCTATAAGGCAGTGATCGATGGACAATCTCTTTAGATATCAAAAAGAAACTTGGAGCACGAGAAATGTGATTCTACAGAAGGATGGTAAGATTTGCAGGGCCCGAATTTGTGAGCAACGAGGAAGTTTGAGAGAAAAAGGAAACAAAAAAGAAACTTATAAACATCAGGAAAAGAAAGTTGGAATCTGTAGGGTAAATAATGAGAAAGAAAGGCTTGGAAAATAAATCAGATTTTCCAAGTTCTCTATCCCAGAGTAGAAGAAAAGCAAAAGGGACAGTTGGAAACAATGCATAACATAATTAGCGAGATTGAGTAAATGGATGGCGAAACAGGGTCTAAGAAAAATAACAAAAATCCAAAATTTATTAAATGTTACAAAGGACTGGAAATTGTGGAGAGACGTGATCAACTATGCCCTTAGGGAACACAGCACATAAAGAAGAATATTACACATATCTTCAGAAACTTATAAAATATCCCACAATTTTATTCTTATTTTAATTTTTTTTTTTAAATTTATATATGTTACGGTAGGCATTAAATTAAAAGCATTAGTTCTGTTCCATCTTCAAGCGAATTTTAAAATTGGCTCGAAGACGGAACAGAACTAATGCTTTTAATTTAATTATATAATTAAATTTGAAGTATTTAGCTTCGGTTTTTGAAGCATGGTAATTCTTGTGTAGCGAAGGAACCATATTTTTAAATCAATTAATTTATAATATTCATGCTCTGTAAATTTACATTGAGCACTGTTTTGTAAAAATAGAAATATCAATAAGAACACCGGATTATATATCTTACTGGTCTTTCTTTTTTATTACATACATACATACATATATATATATATATATATATATATATATATCCGTGTGTGTGTTTAAAGATAGATAGATAGATAGATAGATAGATAGATAGATAGATAGATAGATAGATAGACGCACATCTGCTAAGCAAACACACTTTTCTATGGTGTCGATGTTTGTGTTCTGATCGTGATTACTTCAATATTAATGATGAAATCTCTGGAGGTTGTGCGAATGTGGAAGCACCGTTTTCTCTCAGACTACAAGTTTGGGGCCATTATTCATTATCTATGATTCGTTATCACGTGTTCAATTAGAAAATTTACTTCAGAATATTCGCATTATTTGCAGTCAAAATAAAAGTCGCGTTTATTTTTAATGTATTACTATTTTTTATGTTATTTTCCCACATTTTAACTTTCCAAATTTGACAATGTTTGTATAATAACACAACCATGGCCATCAAACTATTTAGTTGTGTCAAATTGTTTGTACCGTGACTTCATCCCGCTCTCGGAACTCATTGTCTTATTAGCTAACTAACCTGGCTCAAAAAGACTTCCAATCTCTGGTTGTCTGGGTTCAGGAA